TTCCAGGTATAAAAGCTGCAGTTCCTGTGACAAGTGCTAACTGATCAGGCAAAGCAGATTGGAACAGACTATTCAAGACTGTGCCTAATTTGTGTTGGGGGCAGGGCAGAAAGACTATTTAAGTTATTAGCTACAGTGAAGGCTGTAGAGCAAACTCATTCTTTCTCTGTAAGTGGTCCAAGTGCCACTACAAGGGACAGTGAACCACACCTAGTAGGCGTGTGGGTTACATTTTCAGAGCGGAAGATCATCTACTTTACAAAGTTCTGCCTCTGGGAGAGCTAAGGAAAGAGGGGTACTGAGTCTTAGCTTCCCCATTTCAGATAATTTATAAACACAGACTGGCTAGTTGCAGAGATTAGTCTGCTCTGCTTAAAATTTTATACTGTGCTCAAAACTGTGGTATCTGAGTATCTTCCAAAGTTAAAAATAAAAGGCCAGCTCCGAGGTGGTATAAATCAGCATAGTTCCATTGACAACACTGGAATGATACTGGTTTAAACAAACCGGAGTTTGGACCAGACAAGGGTAACACCAGTTAGTAACAAAGATTTCCCTTTGTTTCCTGCACCTCGCTCTCTGTTTCCTGCACCTCTCTCTCTCTCTCTCTCTCTCTCTCTCACACACACACACACACACACACACACACACACACACACACACACACACACACACATGGTAGTAAAATTGTGTGTGTGTGTGCCTTTTTATTTAAGAAACTAAATGTGCTGTATGTTGTTATGTGGAAAAGCAGGCTACTCGCAAGGGTACAGGCACAACCACCCGCCCCCTGGAGTTCAGCACACAGCACCTGGGCATGCCTGCACGTGAGAGGCAGCAGCCGCTCCCACCTGATAGCCCAGCCAGCCGCAGGTGTGTATACAGACCCCAGGGAGTGTCAGGCTGCTCACTGCTCCTCTGCCTTCCATGAGGGGATCCACTGTGGCTGTACACTGCCCTTCCCTGCCTGGCCGTGGTGTGTGTGTGTGAATGGGTGGGGGCAGCATGGTCCTCTGGCCACTTCGGGGTCCTTGTGACACAGGGCGTGCTGTGCAGGCCACACGCTGCCTTGCACCTGCCGCTCACAAAGGAGGGCACAGCCTCAGGGAATGTGTGTGCAGGGTGGACTGAGCGCCCCTCTTTCTTGTGTCTTCTCCACAGCTGGAGCAACCGGGACGGAGGGCCCAGCCATACCACCTGCTGCAGCCATCATCCAGAGTCCAGACAAACCGGAGATGAGCCAGGCCTGGGGAAGAGCTGATGCACCAGCACATCGGGGTGATGCACGACATCCACGCCACCATGTCGTGCTGGCTGAACACCACCTGGAGTGGTGGCAGCAGGCGTGGAGTGACCTGATGACACGCTATGACACCTTGCTGGACATCCTGTCCCGCCCGGGGGAACAGGCGCCTGCTGCTGCTGCTCCCTCCTTCCACTCTCCTGCCCCCGCTCCTATCACTATGGCCCACCTATCTGCCCCCCCAGCCATGCCTCTCCTCCCTCCCCAGGCCATGCCTCTGTTCCCTCCCTTCCCCATGGCCATGGCCCCTTCTATGGTTCCTTGTTCTGCCCCCCCTGCCGCCCCTGGCCCTGCTCCAGCCACCCCCCCCGACCAGCACATTGGGGCCTCCAGAGCCGCTCAACCCTAATAACGTGTCCGCACACAAGGGAGCTCAGCTACCCACCCCAGTATTCCTCCCAGTCCTCATTCCCTCTCACCCTGACCACCTTCATTTTTGTTAAATAAAAAGAGTAAATTTGATTGAAAAACAAACCGGTGTGTTTTTTGGGAGGTTGGGGTTGGGGCAAGGGGAGCGGGTGAGAGGGGGAAGGGAGAATGAAGGATGGGTGGAGGCCCTGGGGAGATGTACAGTGCTTCCTGTGAGAACCTCTCCCTCAGGACCTCCCAGATGTGCACCCTGGACTCATGGGCCTGGCAGGTCGCAACTGTCCAGGGCTGCTCAAAACCCTGGCCCTTGTGGGTGCCTCTGCCATCCACACCGGGAGGAAGGCCTCCCCCTTGTGCTCCACCAAGTTGTGGAGCACACAGAATACCACCACCTCGGGGATATTCTGCTCCCCAACGTCTAGGCAGGTGAGGAGGCAGCAGAACCGTCCTTTCAAACACCCAAAGGTGCACTCTACCTGGAGGCGGGCTCTGTTCAGGCGAGCACTGAATATGTCCTTTGACCAAGTGGCCGGTGTAGGGGCGCATTAGCCAGGGCATTAGTGGGTATGCCGCATCCCCCACTATGCACACTGGCATAGTCTGGTCACCCATAGGGAACTCGTCAGAGAAAAACGGTGCCCACCTCCAGCTGAGCACACAGGCTAGAGTTGTGGAAAACACGGGCATCGTGAGTCCTGCCCAGCCACCCCACATAAATGTTTGTGAAGTGGCCCCGGTGGTCCACCAGGGCCTACAGGACTACGGAGAAGTAGCCTTTTTGGTTGACAAACTGGGCCACTCGATGATCCAGGGCCCGGGGATGGGGATGTGCGTGCTGTCGATTGCTCCTGCACAGTTGGGGAAGCACAGCACAGCAAAGCTGCCCATGGTGGCGTCAAGGTCCTGGAACTAGATGACTCTGCACAGCAGCAGGGAGTTGATGGCCCGGATGACCTGCAGAAGGAGAGACGGAACACATACAACAGAGATTGAGAGGTGCTGTGTGCTCCCAGTGGGACATGGCCGCCCCACTTT